AGTGCAGCATGCCACACACACACAGCAGGGGGTGTTGCTGGCTGATTGTGCAATCCAACGGATTGTCTCGCCCACAGCGGTTCCAGAAACTGCAGGCGGCGAGCTGTTTTCCTAATGCATTTTTTGAAGTGCAAACGTTGTATCAACAACAACAACAACAACACTTGAGGCCAGCTAATCTAGAAGACAGATGCATAAACAACAACTGAAACACAAAACTGGGAAAACAAACAAAAACTTTGCATTTGATAAATTGGCAAGACAAACAGCAGCGACAACAACAAAAATAATAAAACCAACTGAGCAGCCGCCCCCCTCTTGGCCACGCCCCCGCTCCCCTCACCCCGCTGAACCTCAAGACGCTGCCAGATAAAGGCCAACATCTAATCGTATTTGTATATTGCTGTGTATTTCATATTTCGGGCTCGCAACCAGTGCGGGCTTTAGATACTGTATCTGCCAGATACAAAAAGGCGAAATGCGCCTTATCAGCTTGTTTAACATGTGTTTCGCAAATGCTAGACACTCTGCGTGGGTGTGTGTTGGTGTGTGTGTATTTGCTTATCTTTATGATTGCTCAGATATACACAGTAATCGCAAGAGACCTAAATTATAAATAAGAAACGGATGTAAAAGATGACTGTAACTTGATATTCACTATTTGAATCTGTGGAAATGATTTAGATCGTTTCCGCTTCAGGTATATGATAAAGTCGATGCCTCGGATAGTCTCTGACATTTCCCATATACAAGTGACAACTGTACGAAGCAGCACTCAGAATAAAAAAGTAGAAATTTACAAGGTTCCCCTGAAAGCAAGAAAGTTTTTCTTTTTAAATATGTATTGTATTATTAAGTGAGTCCACGTGGCTCTGTGGATTGCCTCGTTTCATCTCACAAATTTCCCACATACGAATGAAAACTGTACTGCGATAAGATGAGAATTAAAATGTCGCCTAGAAGCGGCAGCTAAATCGCAAAATATACGCAGCTAAAGTCGAGTATGCAAAGAGCAGTTGTCACAGAAGTGGGAAGAGGAGAGGTTGTTGGGCTTAAAGAGGTGAGGAGGGGAAAGAGTAGCAAGTTGCGGGTTAAACACAAACACTAAAATGAGTATCTATTTGGGTTTTTTTCTCCACTTTTTCCACAATTACGAGGAAAGTGGCAAATTTCAAATGAATGAAATGAATTAAAAGTGAAATTAAGTGCGAACAACACTAAAAACAACAACAAACAACAAAAAGCTGTAAATGTGTCTTACGGAAGAGTCAGGGACGTGGCAATTTGTACTGCAAAGCGGCTTAAGTTGAACGCATGTTGGCTTATATAATAATGGCCACAATCTAAAGATGTTTTTTTTTTCTTTTTTTTCATGCTGCTTGCGACAGGCGAAATTTGTGAGTTACTTTTAGCTTTCGATTTCATTGCCGTCGACTATTAAATGGCATTTATGACAATTCAGCTAAGAAACATTTTAATGAAAATCTAGTTGGCAAACTGCCCGACTTACATATATATGATATATATATATATATATATATGATATATATATATATATTTATATATATATATATATATAGTATTGGCTATATCGAAGGCAGCAACTATTTGTTTTCACTTGTAAGCAACAACAACAACAACAACAAAAACCACAAATGCCATAAATATTATTGCAAATATAATCTTCAAGTGTTTTTTGCGGTTTATTTGTGTGTATCAATTTATCAACATTGCCCCTGCACCCTCCTCCACTTGTCAATAAATTGGCAATGGCCCAAAAAAAAAATAATAAACTTGCATTCAGTTGATTTGAACTGTTTCGACTGGAAATATTTAATAACAATTATTATTTTTACTTTGGCCGGCTGCGCTTTTCTTTTGTATGTTATTTTTAATATTGGGTCACGGAAAATGCTGAAAAAATTTCAATTCGTGCATTTTGCCATGATTTAAATGAAGTGTGCTGCAAGCAAAAGTCAAGGTCTGAGGGGCACAGCATATGAGGGGGCTACGGTTGTTGGCAGGAAAAATGAGATTAAGTTTTTATTGTTATTTGGCAGCTGCGTGCTAAGGAGCAAGTTTTTCACTAGCTGTCCGCAAAATTTACGACCTGCAAATGCCGTGCCGGAAAAGAGGAAAACTTCTAAATAAACATAATCAAGAGCAACCGAAATCTTTATGCTACTCAGCTCTCTTTCTCTGTCTGTCTCTCCTCTACTCTCTCTCTCTCTCTCTCGCTCTCTCTCTCTCTCTCTCTCTCTCCCTCTCTCTCTCTCTCTCTCTCTCTCTCTCTCTCTCACTCTCTCTCGCTCGCTCTTTCTGCAAGGTGAAAGCCAACACGCTAAGGCTAACAGCTTTACATGAGTTATGGCCAAAACCTTTACAACTGCAAATGCAACTGCAGCCACCACCCAGAAAGCCAGTAAGCTAGCTGACCAAACAAAAAGACAGCTCAATAGCCTGGCTTTAAATTAGTATTCTACGAGCCACAGCTTGGACCATTTTATATACCCTATAATTGTGTGAAAAATGAGGCTTAATGTTGAGTTAGTTGGGCGGAAAGGAGAACTTGTACAATTTGGAAATTCTATCTAATTTATAATTTTTCGATAAGGGATTTTATTAACAAACTATAAGAATTAATAATATGCCCGCAACATGTTCTTGAAAAAATATTTGTTTGGCACCTCGGCACACAAAATTTCAAAGAAAAGTTTCTGAAACTGGTTCTTAAAATACTCTTTGTTGGCTAAAATTCTTTGAGACATAATTTAGAGTCTCTTCTATATTTATAACAATAATCCTAAAATATGAAACACAGAAAATATTGAAGTAAAGTTCTTTCCTACGGTATTTCACTTACATTCATTTTAGTCGAGCACTCCCAAAGTATATTTTTATTTATTTATGGCTCGTGCCAAGCCATTAAGCCATTTACTAAGCTACACAAACTTTAAACACGAATTTCTAACCTTTTGGCTGGCATTGAAGCAGTGAAATGCAGTGCAATTGCCATTAATCTGAAACATTTTTCAGATGCCAGCAGCGATTAGTTGCAAAAAAAGTGTTGGTGTGAAAATGTGAAATGTGAAAATGCAATCGGTTATTTTTCTTTAGAAGTGCCTTGGCTTTATTGATTTTCCGGCTTATCAAAACAGTTGCATGGTGTGGGCTCTCTGCCAGCCCCACGAACTCTCCTCTAATTTGCCAGAAACATGAAGTGATTGATGGATGGAGGCAGCTGCAACAGCAACAGCAATTAGCGGCTGTGGCTAATGGTTAAAGTGGAGCAAGTGGAGCAAGTGGAGATCTCGATTGCATGCCAGGCTGCCTCCATTTAGTAAACAAATCGGACACAGCGTGTAATTGTGCAGCTGACACAGATACCGCATACAATACAAGATACAATTTGTATATGGAAGTATCTTTGATTCGATCACATGCTGTATTTAGCCTTTGTATCTTTGCATCTTTGCATCTATTCATCCTCGATTTGACTTTAAGCTGACTGACTCATTGTGTCGATCAATGTGCATTCGTTGCATATTCTTTTCAAATGAGCTCACAACAATTGATGATAACAGAGAGAGCTCGTCTCTCCAATAAATTCATATTTGGAGCTTCCTCTTTGCTGGCAACCGGTTTAAGAAAGTTGTTTACCCAAAACTGGTCGCTGCCAAAAAACACAAAAGAAACATACTCAAGAACAGTGTTCTTTTTATTTATTTCATTTTTTTCTTTCGTTTCTGTCTTGACAGCTGGGTCATTGGCTGCAAAATGTGCTTAAAGTCTTTGTTTCAATGTTGAAAAAGTATGCAATTCGAATTTAATAGGAATGGGTATTAAAATTTTCATTGGAAATTGTTGATATTTCCAGGTTTTTTGCAATTCACCTTATAGATTACATTTTTCAGATGAATTTGCGTACAATTTTCCACATTAAATATATATTTATATTATTATTATATATACAATGCATTTTATATTCAATATTTTTTTATTAATTTTGATGACTTGCAGTTTGGGAAATATTAATAATAATAATAAAGTCTATCATGAAATCATGAATGAATCATTAAATCTATATGCAAATAATCATTTGAACAAAAGAGATTTTTAAAAATGTATATAATAATATATAAAAAATAAAACAAAAATGTTGGAATTTGGGAGTTGTTTTAGCTGCAGTTGATGATTAAGAGACTACTACTACAGTTGGCGATCTCGTCATTGTCGTTGACATAGTCAGCTGCTTACGCAGTCAACAGTTACCCACAATATTACAACAATAATAACAACAGCAGCAACAACAACAACACTCGCTTTTAACAAAAGTTCAGCGATGAATCACAGCCAAGTTGTTTTACCTGGGTGCTAAAAACTGTTGTTGTATTGGTGTTGGTGTCTCGTTCGTTTCGCTGGAATGTCTTCAACACACACACACTCAAGCACACACAGCAACAAACACACTTACAACACACTTATCAATGAAAAATTAATTTGATAACAATACGACACACATACTGATATAGCTATATCTATATATGTGCATAGAGCACTTATCCCTGACAATACCAAAAAAAAAGCAAAAAACTCAAATTGCATTCAGATTAAATAAAAAAAATTGAGAACTGTCAATAAACGTCACCAACACACACACTCACACTCACACGCACAAACACACTCACACACAAATTCACAAACACTTATTTGTTTCTGTATTTGAATTGAATATATTTGAAATTTTCTATCAAAACTCTTTGTAAGCACCACCTGTAGCCACTTGGCTATATCTCTCTTTCTCTCTCTCTCTCTCTCTTTCTACATTTCCCTGTCTATCTGTACTATTCTGTTAGTTTGCACTCTCCCATTGAATATATGTATAGAATTTGCATACACTTTGAGCTACTCATTAGCATCTCTTTTGATTTTTGAATTGTTGTCTTCATATTCTTATAAGAATAATGTTTGCACTTTTGAGACACTTTATGAACGCTTACATTTTCAATATTTTGTACACTTAAAACACACACAGAATAGGGAAAAACTTGCGCCACGCCGCGTAAAACTAATAATTGCGTTGTTGACGAGCTTAAACTGTGTTTTTTTTATATATTTTTATTTTCTGTTTTTGTATTTGTCGTTATTTGTTATTCAAACTCAAGAATTGTGGCACACTCTTGAAAAAACGCGCGTCCCGTTGCAGCACGTCTGAACAGCGCGAGTAGGTAAACTGAACTAAATGTTAAGCGCCGACACCGACACTGCGGCAAGTTTGTGTGCACAGCATTGCCAGACTGTTAAATATTGTACTAAATGAGTGCTGTAGCAGCCAGCTTTGCAGTGCATTGGTTTTGCGTAGTTTGATGAACTTCTAAGTGTAGTTAAATGAAATGTTACTTTTTGCAGAGATATCAACATGCTTTTTATTGGAATTATGCATTTTAGATAAAAGAATATAATTTAGAATTCAAAATAATTATAATAACATTTCTTATGAGTGTAAATAATAAACAAGAATTTAAAAAAATTATAAGAAATGTATTTATATAAAAAACACTGCTTTTAATAAAATTGTAAACGTTTTTTATGTGGGACTCTATTTTGTTTCTCAGAGTTCAATGCATGTTTATTAAATTAGAGTATTTATTATAAAATATTGTTTATTATCATGCTATAACTTAACGCACCAGTTGCTTTAAGCTTTCCCATTTTCCATGGCATGATGTGATTTACATATATTTTTGGTGGCATGTCAAATAATTTGTTTATTTTCGATGGATTATGTCAGAGTTGACATATGATTTAATCCGTCTTCTGATCCACATGCAAGCCAAATACCTCTACGAGAGCAATTAAAAATAACAATAAATATATATGTATATATATATACATATACACATAATAATGTCCAGCGATCAGTTTTGCAATTGAGCTGAACGATCAGTGATCGCAGTATTCAAGCACCGCTTAATGTGTAAATAATTGTTGAGCTAGCGAGTCGAAACGTTCCCATTTGCACTGACCTGACTGTATAAATAGGTCTTCAAATAGGGATAGTCTCTCCAAATCCATATCGAAAATGTTGCCGAATTTTGTGATAGTGCTCGTCATTTGCACAATGGCCTTTGACGTGGCCTTAGCTTGTGTAAGTTACAAAAATTAATAATTAAAAACTAAATATAAAAAACATTGTTCAACTGAGTTTCTAAGGCAGAAAAAGGCTTAACTTCAGCTTGGCTTGCTTAGCTTTTTCGTTTACAAGTCGAGGAGTCCTTAGAAACTCAATTAAAGCCAATAAAAGCTAACTAAAATGATTAATTGCATTTGCAAATGTGTTTAAAATTAGAATGGCTACAAGGCAAAGCTTGTGAAATTGGAGAATTGTGCCGGTCCGGATGGCATTATCCAGTTGGATGAGGACTTCAGTGTGAAGCTGAACAAGAAGTGCGAACTGGTGCCAACTGGCTGCTTTTCGAACAAGGCCTTCTCAACGGCTGTGTCCAAGTACAAGGTGCAAAAGGATGGCATTGTGATGAAGGAGGGCAAAATGGATTTATGCGCGATGATGGATCAGGCGCCCAGTGAGGCCAAGGATATGTTGAAGGTATTCGGTGCACCATCCAAATGCCCAGTTGCCGAGGAGAAGATCTGTTCCAACGATCACAGAGTCGATCTGACCAAATACAAGAACATGTTGGGCATAGCTCGGGGTCATCTCATCATCGACAGTGAAATCAAACATGATACTGTGAGTTATTTTTCTAGATATTTACTTATTTCTCTCTTTCTCTCTCTCTCTATATATATATATATGCGATGTGATTCATATTTATTTATTTATTTTGTGTCTCTTTTTTCTTTGCAGGGCAAGTCATGTTTCCACGCTGAGGTCGAAATCATAAAGAATTAATATCCTCCGAGATCTGCTATATTATATTATGAGTCTTGCAAATTAGTTGTTCATTTCTGGTGGCAATAAAACATAACGGTAATGGAGTGCACAACACAATTAACAATTGTCTTTTCTTCTCCTATATATGCCTGTGTGTGTGTGTGTGGTTGAGTGTGTGTGTGTGTGAGTATTTTGGCAGTAGCTCGCATAAAAAAAAAAATTGAAATTTGAAGAATAATAAATAAATTAACTACTAAGTGCTTACTTTTGATGAATATTTCAAAAACTCAACACAAGTTCGACTCAGCATTTTTTTCTATACTTTATTCACATATTTTTCTGTACTGATTTGATGAGTGATGAGTAAGTTTTGAATACATTTGTTTTCTATTTAGAGAAGTGTTAATATTAAATATTATTTTGTCAGCTTATTTGTAGATAAACAACATGTGGGCTTTAACAGCATTTTTATAATGTAATTGACGTTGTTGAATGTTGTACTTTAGATTCAGTCCAATCATCCGGAACCTGTGCTGCCTTACTTTTGATGAATTGTTTCCATATACTACGTAGATACATTGACAGATGCAGTGACGCACTTTTATTCCCAAACCAGATCGGGTGTCGTACTTCAGATTCAGATTCAGATTCATTTTCTTTTTCTGTTTTCTTGGCTCGCTTTTCCCATCTTATCCACAACAAGTACTGGCTGAATGATAGTTTCACTGCCCGCATCATGATGCAAGAGTACTGGCTTCTTGCTAATGATAAATTCGTCACCATCGGTTAGGCGACGCCTCTTGGTGACGTGGTAAAGGCCGCTTTTCAGTTTCCTGAATGTGGAATCCTTGAAGTGGGTGCCAGCTGGCACGAAGATGACACGATTCTCCTCCAACAGCAGATAGATACCCGTGCCGTGTCTGGAGCACGATCTTTGAGCCGATTCCACTTTGTAGCTGACATTGCGAGTCATATCTTGGATGAGTATTACAGGATAACTCTTATTATCATTGGAATAATAGAAACTGACGCTTGCCGGCACTTTCCACACGAATTTTCCATTAATTGTTTTTGCTATTGACATATTGCTTGCACCGCTGCTGTCCTTGCCAGACTGATGAGCTCAGTTCAATTGCAGTCGCTTTTATAGACGAGCCTGTTGCTGCCTGTTGCTGTTTTTCTCGCATTTTCCTTTCCCCGGACTTGTCAGTCGTAAACTCAACAAGTTATTAGGGTGTAAAGGATGTGCTGTCAATTTTCATTGAGTGTTTGATTTGATTTCTGAGTTGAGCAGACTTCACAATTGCATCCGAGTCGATTGCACCCACAACTCAGGTAGAAATTCACCAAACTAAAACCGAATAATTGAAAAACAAGACAAGCAAGAAGAAACTCGCAGAACAGAATTTCTTTTTTAATTTATGCAAAAAATATGTGAAGTGCATAATAATCAAAAGTAATCATAATAACTCGAAATCAGAGGGTTTGGTTTACGATCGATGCTGAAATGTGTATTGAATTCTGAACCCGGTTTGACATCCCAATTAATAAACACCTTTTTTCCTCGAATTTCACTCAGGATCGTTGACAAAAATAAACAGATTTTCACAAGCGATGCCATTTGATAAATCTTTGAGCTACAGATTAATGCTACCACAGATTTTAGATACACATTTATTTAAAGATAGATATATCTCTTTGATACTATACGTAAATTGAAAACATATTCATCATGCGATAATGAAGTAAATGTTGAGCATTCTTACTTGTTTTTGTTTATGTATATTTTTAACATTTTACAACACTTTGGACTTACAATATATGATTTCCAAAAATATCAAATCTTAAGGTTAGTGCTCGATGTGTGCCACACAAAGAGTTTGGGGTTACTTGGAGTTTGCAACTGAAAGTGAGGAAGCTAAGTTTTGTGTAAAAGAAATAGAGACCGTCTTGAGCAGAGCGAGGACGAGCAGATGAGTTCCACAGGTGTTCCAGGACTGTTCCACAATGTTCAGCAGATGCCCGAAAAGCCATAATCGCAATCGTTGTCCTTCTGTTTCAGGTGGCCCAAATAGGGCGAGTGCTTGATCCCGAAACTGTAGGAGGGCATATGGGATAGATTCACCTGTGGATTAACATTAACAAAACAGATCGAATGGCAACATTTATTTTTTGTTATATTTAGTTGACATCATTTTAATCTTTTTCTAATTTGGCTTTCTGTTAATGCTCTGAGTGGATTTAATGGGCTGTGTTCAGCTTATGGAAAGTTCTTATAGGGTCGATTTGTGAGCAGGCAGCGTGTATAACGCTCGGGCAACATATATGTGCCCAACTTGCCACAGAACTGTGAATGCATAATGCCAAAGGATATCGAAGGCGTCGAACGTTTCTCCCAATACTGCGGGTCAGGTCAGGTCAGGTCAAATAAATAAATAAATAATAAATTTAAATTGCCTACCTTTTCGGGACAGTGTGCGCCTGGGCCGGGTTTATTATCATCGCTGGTCATCTTATATTTGCCGCGCATCGTATAAACTGGGGGCTTGGACTTGGTTACCGTATACTCGCCATCGTAATAACCGGGTCCGGGCAACACCAGTGCAGGAATCAGCGGCTGGCGCATCCGTCCGGCCATTGTGAAGGCAGGTGCTGAACGTATGGGACCCTCCTTGCTGCTGCCCAAGACAGTGGGTATCTTGTAGACGTTAGGAGCTGCAGAATAAAAGACATCATGCACAATGTAGACCATCAAATACACACAGAAGAAGCAATGACCAGCTTATGGACATGGATTTCGCTATATTCAATTTGTACAAGTACAAAATTCTTCAAAATAAATTATTCCGAGTTAATATTTACTCAAAATTGTAGATTATGTTGAAATGGCTTTAATTTTTTTAAAGAGAAATATTAATAAAAATCCAAATAAATATTTTCCTGACTCAAGAAGGAGCATTGAATGCAAATTAAGTTTAATATTTAATTTAAATGTAAAATGAGATTGCCTCAAGTTTGAAAATGCAGCTAAAATTAGTAATTAATTTTGGGGTCGGTTTTTAATACAAAACTTGAGCTAAGCTAGCCGACTTTTGCTTAAATTATGCTACAATTAATTGTAGTAAATAAGAATTGAAAAACGTATCCAAATGAAGAATTTTGTACTTAGTTTCAGGTACTTCAGACTCGGCTAAGAAACGATTCTGTTTACAGATGTTAATCTTCTATTTTTATATATTTTTTAGGTTATTAGAATTGGTTGACTGGTTGTTTGAATGGCTGGGTTAATAGGTGAGAGAGCTTGGATTTTGATGAGGCTGCAAAAAAAAGAAATAAAGAGAAAAACACACAAAACAACGAGTAACAATTAAGGGGAGTTTAGTGGGGCGAGGGTTACCTGATTATTTTCTCTTGCACGCTGCTCGCCTCCACAGCGTACTTGACGGTGCTCGATTTGATGGATTTGGCACTTGTGACAATTGCACCGTCACTTTGCACCACTGTGCGTGTGCTTGCCGCTGCCGCTTTGGTGGTGCTGGCATCCGCTTTGCCTTGGGCGGTGACTTGAAGATTGCCCCTTTGGGCGTGTGCATTTGCCACATGGTGCATGGTGGTGTGCTTCAATCTTGATTGATCGCTCTGATTGTCATTTGTGCTGTTTACGACTTTTGTTGTCTTTGTGGTGGTTGTTGTTGTTGTTGCTGTTGCCGCTGGGACTGGTGCTAGCTGTGTGTGTGGTGTGGTGGTGCCATTTGTGGTTGTGTGCTTTACGATTGTCTTTGTCTCCACTTGACCCTGCTCCTGCTGCACTGGCACCTGAACGCCATTCACAAAGCGCGTCTCAGTGGTTGTTGTGGTGGTTGTTGTTGTGGTTGCATTGGTGTTGTCATTATTGTTGCGTACTATGATACAGATTGCAATTAGACTCAATTCAATTGTGTATTTTGCTATGTCGGTTTATACACAATATATACATATGCATACGAGTACACAGAGAAAATTAAATGCATTCGAACAAAACAAACTAGGAATGGTGAATCATAATCTCAACCTGAGGTGTCTTATCTCAGATCGAGAGAGTGTCGGGAATACAAATGAGAAGTAAGCATTCGAACAACATTCGAAGTAAACGAACTTGATACGATTTTCTTCTCTGTGTATGCATGTATGTAGTTTCCCACGCCTCTAGCAACTTATCAAACGTTTCAAGTACTCTGAATGCCAGTTGAAATTTCACTTGACCTTAAACGATAACTGAGCTATGGCAATATCATAAAGAAATCGAATTATATTTGGGAATATTGAGTATAACTTAAAGTTATAATTACAAACAACATTTTGTGTATGCATTAATTCAGTACCTGTGGCTGCCTTAAGAAATGAATGTGCAATTGCACACCTGCTTACATTTGGATGTGTAAAATTTGTAAAAGGGACATTTGGCAAAAGAAACTGGAATATACATAACAGCTCACGATCAGGGTTCAGGGTATATCGTAGTCGACTTTTTACTTTACTCTTTTAGTTAGCATTTCACTTATCGGCAACGTCTACGCTATGACTGCTTCAGCTCGAGCTTCAGCTCCAGCTTCAGCTCCAGCTTCAGCTCCAGCTTCAGCTCCAGCTTCAGCTCGAGCTCCAGCTCCAGCTCCAGCTGTACTCTGTGGTCTGGCTGCTCTTGGCTTAGTCGCTTGCCACTGCTTGTCTGCCAGCTGCAGGGTCTTCTGTTGTCGTCGTTGTATTCGTTGAGTTGGGAGGCATTATAATTTGCATATGCCAGGCGCATTCTCTTTGACATTTGTTGAGACTGGGCCACTCGTTGTGCTTGTGGACCCGCTGGCACTTGGAGAAAACTGATACACAGTTCAAAATGATGCGATGGAAGACATAAAACTGGCGACGGGGTCCCTTACAGTATCGCTCGTTTTTGTATTTGTTTTTCACCAAACACGCCCCGTTTGGTCTAACTAAAATGACAACATTTTGGAGTTTCTTGCAACGGCTCTCTCTTTGGCTAACTCATTATAAACTTACATCTGCCACTATCGATCAATGAGATGATCCAAAATACTAAAATTGCCATAATCAACCACTTCATTCTTCTATCCAACAGTGACTACAAACTCTATTTGTATATTTTTTTGGCTTTACGCAACGGGTAACAAATGGATTTCAGTGTATAATTGCAATTAGGCATATTAAATGAAAGTACTTGAAAGGTTTTCGAGTATTTTTGTTGGATGCTCTCTTACCGGGACTAGCCAAGCGTCGTTCACGTCTTTGCAAGATGCGATCTTCAATGTAAGCGCCTCTAGATTCTAGTGAGTGCAGTTTGGATGAATATACAGTTTTGTATATATGTATTGTATATACATGTGGTACATATATATGTATGTATGCAGGCCAGTACACCGATATAATGTAAACAAAATATATATATATATATGAGATACACAGAAAATAGGAAATACAGAAAATAGTACATACAAAAATAAAATTAAACAAAGAACGGCTAGCTTCGAATTGCCGAAGATCGAATACCCTTGCAGATATATGAACATATATCTTATATCACATTGATTAGTTTAACAAAAAAAAAGTTTAAAAACACTAGAAAAACATACAAAATTCAAATATGGAAGCTGAATATTGTTTGACCGTTTCTACACTCAGAAAAAATCGCCTTAATTTTAGAAGCTAGTCATAGCTTAATATTCAGAAAGTATATTTCTAAAAACCAGATTTATCCATTTTCTTAATTTGAAGGTACATTTTTCTAAAATTTAGTGTGTTTCTTCATATATCTGAATACAGAAAACTAAAATTTTTGAGTGTATATGAACTATTTATCCTATTTGGATACAAATCGGACAAAATGCTACAAATAAGTAAGGAACCTTTAAGTTCTGCAAGGGTTTGTATAAAGCATGCGAATATCCAGCACCAGCTTAAAGCTTAGAACAAAACATAATAGGCAAGCAGCACCTACCTCGAATGATGGGCATAGGTGTTGTCTTGAGACCAAAACTAAATGCCGGCGAGCTGTCGAGATTGCATTGCTCTGGATGATAATGTCCGGGAGCTAAGGACAGGCGTTACAAGATGCAGCACACAAAACACATACATAAATATATATATATTGAAACAAGACAAGACATAAAGTAAGCAACATGCTGGTGAAAGTAAGCCTAAGATGTATTGGATAGTAATACTAAGTAGAGTTCTTTACCGGGTGTATCGGTGGTGACCTTGGTCTCGGATCTAGTGCCAAATGTGTAGGCTGGTGTGTGCTGAGTATTGTGCTTTTCCGGTTCGTATGCAGTGGGTGCTACAAAAAATAAAGCCAAAGAACGAACCGATTTGAGCTCATTTGCAAGTCAAATGAATACCCCAATCCGCTTTGTGCTCAATTATTTACCTGGAGTATCACTGATCTGTTCCCGTTTCAGCTTCATGCCAAAGGTGAAGGCGGGCGTGCCATCCAGCTGACAGTTCTCCGGTCTGTAGTCACAGGGTGCCGGGGTATGGCTGACATGCTCGATGATCGTCCGACCTGTAATTGTGTAGGCGGGTGTATGGTCGAGGCGTACTTTCTCTGGCGCATAGTCGCCGGGCGCCGGCTGATGGGTGTCCACCTTGGGGTCATATTTGCCACCAAATGTGTAAGCGGGTGCATGATCCAGTCGCGTCTTCTCCGGCGAGTAATCCCCTGGCGCTGGTGTGCCATTTGTGATCTTTATATCATGCTTGCCGGCCATCGAAAATGCTGGGTTGTGATCCTGACGCACTTTCTCAGGCGAATAGGCTCCAGGAGCTGGAGTTTCGCTTGGCCTGTGCAGATCATGACGACCGGCAAATGAGAAGGCGGGAATGTGATCGAGCCGAACATACTCTGGGTGATAATCACCAGGAGCAGGTGTATGATTCTCCACTTTGGGCTCGTTCCTGCCACCAAATGTGTAGGAGGGAGTATGATCCAATCGAGACTTCTCAGGGGAATAGTCCCCAGGCGCTGGTGTGCCATTTGTGATCTTCGTATCATGCTTGCCAGCCATTGTGAATGCTGGATTGTGATCTTGACGCACTTTCTCAGGAGAGTATGCTCCAGGAGCTGGTGTTTCACTTGGCTTTTGGAGGTCATGACGACCGGCGAAAGAAAATGCCGGATTGTGATCTAATCGAACATTCTCTGGGTGATAATCACCGGGTGCAGGTGTATTATTCTCAACTTTGGGATCATTCCTGCCACCAAAGCTGTAAGAAGGTGTATGGTCCAATCGAGTTTTCTCAGGGCTATAATCTCCAGGAGCTGGTGTTTCACTTGGCTTTTGGAGGTCATGGCGACCGGCGAAAGAAAATGCTGGATTGTGATCTTGGCGAACTTTCTCAGGAGAATAGGCTCCAGGAGCAGGTGTTTCACTTGGCTTTTGGAGGTCATGGCGACCGGCAAATGAGAAGGCGGGATTGTGATCTTGCCTCACCTTTTCTGGGTGATAATCACCAGGAGCAGGTGTATGACTTTCAACTTTGGGATCATTCCTGCCACCAAAGGTGTAGGCAGGAGTATGATCCAATCGGGATTTTTCAGGCGAGTAATCTCCCGGAGCTGGTGTCCCATTTGTGATCTTTGGATCGTGCTTGCCAGCCATTGTGAATGCCGGATTGTGATCCTGGCGAACTTTTTCAGGGTAATAATCACCGGGCGCTGGTGTATTATTCTCAACTTTGGGATCATTCCTTCCACCAAATGTGTAAGCGGGAGTGTGATCCAATCGAGTCTTCTCTGGACTATAATCTCCAGGAGCTGGAGTATCGCTTGGAATTTTGGGATCATGTTTGCCAGCCATTGTGAATGCGGGATTGTGATCTTGGCGTACTTTCTCAGGCGAATAGGCTCCAGGAGCTGGAGTCTCACTCGGCTTATGAAGATCGTGGCGACCAGCAAAGGAGAAAGCGGGATTGTGATCCTGTCTGACCTTTTCGGGGTGATAATCACCGGGAGCAGGTGTATTATGCTCCACTTTCGGGTCATTTCTACCACCAAAGGAATAAGCGGGAGTGTGATCTAACCTAGTCTTCTCGGGACAGTAATCTCCAGGTGCTGGGTTATCATTTGAGATCTTTGGATTGTGTTTGCCAGCCATTGAAAATGCTGGATTGTGATCTTGGCGAACCTTCTCAGGAGAGTATGCTCCAGGAGCAGGTGTTTCACTTGGCTTTTGGAGGTCATGACGACCAGCGAAAGAAAATGCTGGATTATGATCTAGTCGAACATTCTCTGGATGATAATCACCAGGAGCAGGTGTATGATTTTCAACTTTGGGATCATTCCTGCCACCAAAGGTGTAGGCAGGAGTATGATCCAATCGGGATTTTTCAGGAGAATAATCTCCCGGTGCTGGTGTGCCATTTGTGATCTTTGGATCGTGCTTGCCAGCCATTGTGAAAGCCGGATTGTGATCTTGTCTGACTTTTTCAGGGTAATAATCACCGGGCGCAGGTGTATTGTTCTCAACTTTGGGATCATTCCTGCCGCCAAATGTGTAAGCGGGAGTGTGATCCAATCGAGTCTTCTCAGGGCTATAATCTCCAGGTGCAGGAGTTTCACTTGGCTTTTGGAGGTCATGCCGACCAGCGAAAGAAAATGCAGGATTGTGATCTTGCCTCACCTTTTCTGGGTGATAATCACCGGGTGCAGGAGTTTCACTTGTGATCTTCGTATCATGCTTGCCAGCCATTGTGAATGCTGGATTGTGATCTTGACGCACCTTCTCAGGAGAGTATGCTCCAGGAGCAGGTGTTTCACTTGGCTTTTGGAGGTCATGACGACCAGCGAAAGAAAATGCTGGATTATGATCTAGTCGAACATTCTCTGGATGATAATCACCGGGAGCAGGTGTATTACTCTCCACCTTATGATCATTCCTGCCACCAAAAGTGTAGGCAGGTGCATGATCCAGCCTGGTCTTTTCGGGACAATAATCTCCCGGGGCTGGCGTGCCATTTGTAATCGTCACTTGATGCTTTCCAGCCATGGAAAATGCGGGATTGTGGTCTTGTCGCACCTTCTCGGGGCAGTATGCACCCGGGGCCGGGGTGTCGCTCGGCTTGTGGAGATCGTGTCGGCCGGCGAAGGAGAAGGAGGGATTGTGGTCTAAGCGCACTTTTTCGGTGTCATAGGCGCCTGGGGCTGGGGTGTCGCTGGCTTTGAGTGTGTCATGGCGTCCGGCGAATGAGAAAGCGGGATTGTGATCGTGCCGTACTTTTTCGGGACAGTAGTCGCCCGGTGCCGGAGTGGAGCTATCGAGTCGATGCTCATGCTTACCAGCGAAGCTAAACGCAGGCGTGTGATCGCTACGATACTTTTCCGGGGCATACGAGCCTGGGGCCGGGCTGAGGTTTACGGATTTCAGCTCGTGTCGGCCGGCCAGCGTGTAGGAGGGCGCAAAGTCCAAGCGCACCTTCTCCGGCTCATAGGTGCCGGGTGCGGGTGTCTCTTGCGACCTGCTCAACTGCACCCGTTGCCCAAAACTGAAGGCGGGTGTTTTGTTCAACACACACTTCTCTGGCTCGTATGCGCCGGGCGCTGTAAACAAATAAAAGATGCGGAAATTCCATTTAGAGTAGGAATAAAGCTACGGCTTAGAAATATAGCTAAAGTTTCGCATTGGCTTGGAACTTGGCCGAATACACTCACCTGGTGTGGCATCAACCACATCATGATTCGCCTTGCCAGCGATGCTAAAAGCGGGTGTCGAATGCAATTTAGACTTTTCAGGACTGTACGTGCCGGGTGCTAAGGTTAAGAATTTAAGTGCATTTAATCAGTTGTGATTAGAGCAAGGCTCACGACTAGACCCCACCTGGCGAATCGTTGACTTGTGTGTGCTTCGTCCTCAGACCAAAACTATATGCGGGCGTGTGCTCGAGGACTACTTGTTCCGGCTTATAAGAGCCAGGTGCTGCAAGGGTTCACAAAATTGAAGCCGATTGGATGCAAGTCTTATATCTATATGCTACTTATGAGTGTCTGCTCAATGTACGACCTGATTCGTTATGAATCGTTTCTGAATTTCAATCAACTTTTATAATGCAAATAAAGTATTTTAATTCAAGCGAAACTTTTGCTTAGCATTCACTAAAAAATATAGATTCAAATCGACTAAGAACTGATTGATGCATAAAAATATGTGATTAATGGGGTTTATTTCTGGGTCAGCTGCGCTTCGGGTGCTGAGAGTTTTAAGTTCAAGTTTTTGGGCATGCAATGTATTCATTATTCTTTTAACATTTGATCAGTTTTGTGGCAGTTGACTATTTAACTTCAAAATAACACTTATTTTAAGAACTACTTGCAAGGAATCCACTTTGAAAACAAAATTATTGCTCAAATTGTGTTATGTATGCTTAGTGCCACAATGGATACTACTACTGATGGTAAACTACAGATATTTACAGCTTGAAGGACGTACATTGAGGTGTGCTTGGGTTATAAGTTGTATTTAAGTGGAGCTAGACAAACCTGGCGTATAGTCGGATCGCAGCTCATGATGTCTGATGCCAAAACTAAATTCGGGTGTCCTGCTGAGCTTCACCTTCTCGGGGGAATAGGCGCCGGGAGCTGTACGGGTTAGATAGGAAAATGATTACTATGTGGAACTGGAGACCGAAATGTTCGTGTTCGTTTAGCCGGGTGTAATCCAATCCGAAGTCTAACTAGATGCTACTACTGGCTAGGCATATATTACAGACAAGTGCCTCATTGCTCGTGGGTTTGAGGGAGTTAGGTTGTGTGTAGGGCGTAGGGCAGGGGGAAGGGAGTTTGACAACATATTACCTGGTGTATGCTGATCGTGTTGGATTTTAGTTCGTCTACCGAATGTGTAACGTGGCGCATTCTTTCTCGATTGCGTAACCTTTTCGGGACTATAGCTATTTGGCGCTGTTAGTGTTAATAAAACAAATAATTACGGTACGGGTAACGTTTTTCATATTTTTTAGTTTCTCTTTTTTGGTTTTTAGACTACAAACATGGCAATAAGTAAGACTAGAGTGGGTTAAACTGAATGAGTTACGGAGTGTTGTTACTAGGAGTTAAAGAGATAGAGATGGTTAGATGGAGAGCACACCAGGAAAACCAGAAGTGGTGAGGAACACATGCAAAAGAGAACGTGTGTGAGAATGTGTGGATATTAACTGGATGGCGGGGCAACAGACATTAGCCAATTGGGCCGGCAGTTAGTTGTGTTACCTGGATTGTTAACTAGGTAAACGTTAACCTTAATGCGAAAGGAATAACGAGGCGCACGCGGCTTAATGACATCAAGCGGCACCACTTGATAATGGTTAGGACCTAAAAAATGTTGTTGTTTTGTTTATCGCAGCATTCGCGATTGGCAGTCAGTGAGTGGGTCAGTTAAATTTGGTTTAAAAAGAAGAAAAATGTTAAATGTCAAAATCAAAATCAACAAATCAAAAATCAAATTCAACAAATCAAACACAAACCATACAAAGAAAAACCACATAGAAAATACATTGAAATACAGCTAAATGCCTACTAATTACATAAAAAAGTACAAAAAGAAAGAGAGGGAGAAAGTCGTCAAATTAGGAAAGCAAAAGAGTGGGAGGGAGACAGCTATACCAGACCAACTGGCAGTTGCAGTTGGCGGTGATGGTACAAATGTACCAAAACTAGACAATTTATTTAGACAGTGGTACATGGTACATGGTAAAGGGTACATTAATTCTTTTTCGCTTTGGTGTGATAGGTACATATAAATGTAGTGATAAGAATGTACCAATTAACTGTACAATATTTACACGACTTGAAAATTGATGAAACAACAAAAAAAAATATATATAATTTCATTTTTTTTTCATTAAAGGCTTGTGATAACATTAAAAAACATATGTGGGAGTGTACATGGTTCAAAATCTACGACTATCTACATACTCTACACAGCATTTGTTACTCGCTTTACGATAAGTCTAGCACACTACACGATTGCCTTCAAATTGACTATAATTTGTGATATTTCATAATATGCTCCTATTTAAAAATTGTAATTTTCTTTGAATATTTTTTTTTTTGGTACAAGTTGCCACAGCTACGTGATTACTGAGATATATAGATATATAAAGATAGAGGGAGAGAGAGATATGTAGCAAGCAGTTACAATTATGTGACTACTGAGTTAGAGATCAAGAGAGAGAAAGAGAAAGAGAGAGAGAGGGAGAGAGACACAAATATACTAGCAAGCAGCACAAAGTTACAGCTACGTGACTACTAAGAGAGAGAGAGAAAGAGAGAGGCAGAGCGAGATAGAGCTCATGACTTTTAGGGCAGCGTTTACTTACGCGCTGCTTGGATGAGATTCGATTCATTCATGGATCTGTTAGCTCGATATGTGATTCTTATATATACAACAATGATGATGATGATGCGGCCTGTCTCCGTGACTTGGATCTTGGATGTCTTGGATGTCTTTGCTTGAGATATGAGGCTTCTCCGTAATCCATAGCGATAATGATGCGCATGCAACCCATGACCAATATAATAAGTACACAACACCATAATAAAAACGCATAGCCATTCAAACAACCAACAGGAACCAACAACAAACCAACAACAAACCAACAACATCAACAACAAACCAACAACAACCAACACGGTGAACACTCGTTTGGGCCATAAGGACCGTCTCGACTTACCTGGTATTAGCTGGAACTTGGCGCTCGCCGGCTTCTTGCCAAATGTGTATTTGGGTGTGGCATCAATGACAGCCTTCGCCGCCGGCATCACATCGTATTCACCCGGGCCGGGATTCACGAAGCGTGTCAACTCCTTGGGACGACTCTGTAGGGTAGCGGCACGTGCATGATCTCTGCCTTTGGGTCGCATTCCCGACACATTGTACTGTGCCGGACCGGGTCCGGTTGTTTCATCCCTGCCACATAACTTGTGGCCAAAGGAATATGACGGTGCGCCCTTCTTCTTTGAATCCGGCACTTTGCTGCCTGTGAATAACAATCGAAATTTGACTTGATTATTGCATGTAGAATATAGAATATGCTTACCAATTAGCGTTGGTAACTGGACAATAGCTGGTCCCGGATTTGTAGTCTCCGCCGCAATTCTACCAATGCGCACTGTCGGCGTCCACGGACGTTGTTCAATACTGCCGGCCATGTTGAGCGTACGGATATTGCGTACGGGCTTACAGGGTCCCACTTCCTTCGACTTCGATTTGGATTTGTGTAACTGCAAAACGCAGAGTGCAAGGATTGATTATCAACTCTGCCAATATCATCAACTTATATCTAACATTCTTAGTCATTTTGGTGCAGCACTTTTGGGGCACAATCAGTGGATTAATCAATTGAACAATTTTCGAATATTATATCTACAAAAAATGAAGTTTTCGTATGGGTTTTGGGCGTTTAAAAATGGTGTACTTTTGATCGATATTTGACGGAGCTGAGCAGTAAGCTACTTTGATTGATTTGCAGAGCTTTCAATTTGTGTGAAATATATACTTAAGTGTGATTAAATATATATAAAGATATAAAGATTAAAGATAGAACGATATTTTTCAGCATCATTTCGTGGTTAAAGACTCTTGCATGTAAAACTGATATTTTATATATTTGGGGTTTTGATTATTTCAGATTTTCATTTTGGAATGAGTTAGCCAATAAACCAAATCCTTAAATTACCCTCAAAATCAATGGCATAAATTCCATAAAGTCAAAAAAGAAAAAAGGGAGAGGCGCCCCTTAACTCTGAACGTGACTTCAGCGATTTATTTGTTTGGAATTTTCTGGGCCACTTTGCTGCAGCAAAGTGATTTGGTTGCCCACCTGAAAAAGACAAACAATGGACAAAAACTATAAGTTTGCGGTAGGCTCTTCAACCCGTGACCTTCTTTTTTGAGCGGCATAGCCCAAAAGGCGCTAAAAAGCCCTTTTGGAGCTGTCAGGCACTGCTCGATATATATGCCTTGCCATGCCTTGCCTTGCCCTGCCTTGCATTGGGGCTTGCGTTTTGGATTTTGGTAACAGGTCGCGACATCGCAGCGGATGTAATCGATACTTTGCGATGACGACCTCAATTGGCTTTGGCTTTGGCTTTGGCTTTTTCTTCGCTTGAAGCGATTAGCTGACGCGATTGAACGTTAGCTGAAACGCCCATTTCCCCATTCCCCGCACTTACTGATGACTGACTTGGGCAGTCTGGCAGCAGCAAGGTTGCGCCCCAAAAAACAAAAAAAAAATACAAAATACAAAATAATATTCAGAGTGCTAATGTTGCCCATTTGGCGCATGTAAGCCCAACAAAACGATTACTTTTAATGACTTATGGAGCGACAATTGCATGCCATGAAACGAGCACCTCAAATTAGAGTTGCAGCCGTGTTTGTACTGGGTATATTCTGATAATTCGTAACGCGTCCTATATATCTATATATTCTTGACTCTTTTTTGTTGTTTAATTGGATTCTTTGTGGACCAGTTTGCATTTAAATACCTTCAGAAATCTTATTCATAATTGTTACTTTCTGTGTTTTCCCCAAAACATGTTAAATGTTTTAGACCAGTTTGCTTTTAAATACCTTCAGAGATCTTATAAATAAACCTTTTTTGAAATTTAATTATAACATTTTATATATGATATGAGTCCACATTAAATAAATGAATAAATTTAAATATTAATTCAATTCAATTTTTTTGTTGCTGTTTGTGTTTTACTGTGTCGACTGATATTATTCGACTTTAAATTAATAAATAAATAAATCAGTCGAGTTTTCGACCAGTTTTAAAGCCATCTTGTTGAAACTGGAAATCTATGCGTCATTTAGCGGCAAACAGCATATAAGTCAGAGCCGGCAAAAATTGATAATTATAGCTTATATTATCATGAAGTCAGAGACAATATCAGTCGAAAGATGAGTTTTTGCACAAAGAACATTTGTTTGTTTGATTTAATTATTGTTTTTATAATTCAAATATTTATTAAGCTGTCTCTAAATACATTACTATATAGCTTTAAAGTGTCGGATATTTTCATTTGTACTGCAAGTTAGAAGTCAGCAGTTGGAATCCTTTCTGCAAGGGTATAAAATCTTTGTTATATTTTTTTCATGCCATCCTGTTTGATTTTCAGTTCGTGTTCGTGTCACGTTGTTGATACGTTGCCAACTCTGGCTCAAATTGAAAAGGGAACAAGAGCAAGTCTTAAAGTCCAAGTGGCTGCGGACGTAAATGGTGGCAGTGGCACTAACAGTTGATGTGGATGTGGCAGCGTGGAAGCGTGCAACTTCTTTGGCCGTGAAATCAACAGCTCCGCTTTATGTAAATAAACAGCTGAGCCAATTTCTGAGTGGGTGTGGCTGACTGCACTGACAGAGGCAGAGTGAGGGAGAGAGAGAGAGCAGCAGCGGCGGGGCTGGAGCAAAGCTGTTCAAATTGAGGCTAAAAAGTGGGCGTGTTTGCGCCCCGCGACCTCGCACGCAATTGAAACATGTTTTTGTTGTTCTTTGTGTGTTTGTTTTTTGGGTAGCTTTTTTGTTGCTTTGCTCAGTTGTATTTAGATTACCATATGCTCCGCTAAGTACGAGTAGAAGCGAATCTTACATCATCATTGAAGCTAAATCTGAATGTGAATCTGTATCTGAATATGCACCCACACGCGCAACGCACTTCAATTGCCTGCTGCCCCGGAGTCTAGAGACGGGTAGAGATGGGGGGTAGCGGTTAGCGGGTAGTGGGGCTCAATATCAATCAGTGCTGCCGCAACCATATAAGGCCACCGCTCAAGTGAAATCGGATGAATCAGCTATACATATAGTCTGATTGATGCCAGACATTTGCGTGGCTGCAGTTCGCAACCATGAAATGAACTCAGCAACAGTCTTGCAAGCACTGAAATAATTCGTGCTGAATTTTAGAAAATCTGAATATGTTTCTAAAATGCAAAAATGTATCTTTTTAAGAGGAGTGCCTTTTCGAATCATTAGAAATTGATTGCCAATAATAGAAAACATTTATAGAAAATAGAAAAAAGCTTGTTTAATTTTAGAATTATTTTTTTTATAAATATACCAAATATTTTTAACAGGCAGAAATGTTAATTTTAGGAATATTTTCTACATTTTTCTATGTGTTTTTTTTTTAAGTGTAGGCGTCGCAGATTTCATACATTTACAGAGTAAAGGAGTCCATATGCTCGCTTAACAATTATTTACTCATTATTTTGGTTTGGTTGCGCAATCTGATCAAACAATAATAATAATCCTCTGCCGAGCTATTAGAAAAATCGCAGTGCAGTTATTAAATTTAAGAACTCGTTTTTGTACAGTGTGTTTGTGTGTCTGAAAGTGTTGCCTGCCAACAGCTTATTAATCTTAATTTGTGGCACAAACACGAGGCAGCCGACAGCTTAGTCCCATTTAATCAAGTTAATCGGACATGCAACTTGACATGGCTTTCCATGACGGAGCTGAGTCGGGGGCAGGTGCTTTCTAAAATTGAATTATAGATGGTGCAACTGATACGAGTACGAGTTAATCAGTGTCCAGTGTTCAATGTTGAGTTTTCAGTCTTGAGTTTCAGGTGCACAGGTCAAACGGCAACCGGTTCTGTGGCCAATTGAGCGTATTGAAACTGATTTTGAATTGAGCACACGCCCACATTAGCTACTGCGATTATTTACCTCCCTCTCTCTGTCTCTCTCTCTCTCTCTCTCTCTCTCTCTCTCTCTCTCTCTCGTTCTCTGTCTCTCAGTCTCTGTCACTGCCGTTTGCCGTCAGTCGGCTATTTTCGTTGCATGACTCTATGCAAAATTTGCCACTTGAATCTTGATGGATGATGCCAACTTTGAACTCGTACTTTTTTTCGCGGACACATCACACACACACACACACAAACACACACACGCAAGCACGCTTCATGGGTAACAACACACGGCAAACAAACAAACAACAACAACAACAATAACAATAAGTAAATTATAGAATAGCCATTCAGAAACCTGGCGCACGTCATCAACAATTTATGCTATCAAGTAACAAGATGAAAGAATAACTAAACAATGCCCAAATACCCTAACCCCAGCAGGCATATGCATTATCCCATGCATTATTTGACAGTTGGTATTTGTGGAATGCAGATTAAAAAACTAACAAAAAAGCAACTGAGAACGGCTATCTTTGCGTAAGCCTTGAGTCTGAAATATAATTATTTTATTTATATTTATTATTTATTTTATAAGTTTTCTATTTCACGATAAGCTGTGCTGTGTTCACATTTGGGATATTAAATTCTTTTTAGAATGGTTTAAACGTTTAGAATGAACTCGATTGTATAACTTAAAATACATATTTTGTCCGATTGTTATCACGGCAGCTATATGATATAGTGGTCCGATCCGGTCGTCTGTACTGCATTCAGCAGTAAGAATTTTTTCAGAATTTGTGGTAACAATTTATGTTTTAACAGGAATTAAAGCTGAGCGAGTGTCAAGTGCAAAAAATGAAGGCAGTGTTGCTGATGAAGATATATATATATATATACATACTTTACTTTTATTTATATATACTTTATGGAGTCGGAGACTTCTCCTTCAATGCCTTACAATCTTCACAAGTAAATTATATTGCCCTCAACACGGTCAACATATTTACAGAGATCGATTGCAAATTTTAAGTTTGGTGAGCTTGGAGCTATATTTAAGAATAAAAGGTTTTCCTATGCTTACACCTGTAGAATCAATTTCATATAGCATATAAATCATATTCAAGGCTATATTTGATATACCCTTTGATAGCTTTTTGTATTTCGCAATGAGTTCTCAACTTTCATATTTCGTGTATAGTTCCTACTACTTGGTGTAGATGCTAGGGTATATATTTAATAATAATAAAATCAATCATAAGTTTAACAGCATACACAAAGAGAAAAAAGAATTCATTTATGGCAATTCGAAGAATTTATACTCTCTCCAAAATATGGTTTGGTTATAAATCTTAAGCTTTAAATCCAGCTGAAAGCCGACTTGCAATAAATTATTGATAGAAAATTGTTGGATTAAATATGGAAAGAAACGATTGATTAATACATATTGTTAGGCACTTAAATCTGTTGAGTTCATGCCATAAAACATCTGTCAGCTTTAATCATTATTAACAATAGAACTTTTGTTGTTGTTTTTGCTCATTTTAATAGTCGCATTTCACGCTCTCTAAATTGCCAAAAAAAAAACACACACAAAATAATAATAATAAATACAAAAAATATATAGACAAAATGAGCTCATTTTCCAGCGTTGATCATCAACTTTTACGCCCAAATAGGGGCAAGTTGGCTGCGTCGTCCGGCTGTCTTAGAGACTGTCTTGGCCGTTTCCTTTAGCCCACATGGAGTTGGCCAAAATGTTGGCCAAGTTTCCAGACAAGGCGCCCACACACGTTACGCCGTTTTGTATCTCAATCGACGGTCTTTGCGACCGTCTCTTTCTCTTTGCCCAGTTAGTACAGCAACAGCAACAACAATAACAACAGCAGCAGCAAAAATCACAACAATCAAGTTGTGTTTAAGTTTAATTAACAGCAAAACAAGGCAACAAGACAAAATACCGGCAAACTGGTAGAAGCATCAGCAACAAATAAAGTGTTTTGTGCCAAAAACGGGTACAAATAAAAAACACACACAAAAAGTGATAAACACACAAAATAAACAACAAACTGACGTCAACTATGTGTGTGAGTGTATGTGTGTGAGTGTGTGTGTGAGTGTGTGTGTGTGTGAGAGTGTGTGAACTAGTTTTGTGCTCGAAATCTAATTAGAATTGGTAAACGTGTTTTGTGTCTTGAGAACTTAAAGCAAACGCTTTTGCCAAGTGAAAGCTGGCCAAGAGAGCTCCTGACCAAACCCACTTTTGGTTTCCTGCCAGAAAAACAGACAAACAGACAAACAGACAAACAGACAGGCTACAAAATACAATATCTAACTGAAATATATATAATTGGGTATATATATATAATTAGAGACAGTTAACGGAATGCTAATGCCTAAGCTGTGACTAATATTTGCCTACCTGTTTCTTGTCTTTCTCTCAGTTTTTGCCTTCCCAGTGTTATATCATTTTATAAATATTTATTTTTTGCTGCAAACATTCATAATTTGTAGTCGTTTTTTTTACGCCTCAAGCTTTTTCACTTCTCTTTTACTTTGGTAATTTAATTGTTGCTGTTTCTGGCTCATAATCGGTGGCTTTGAAAACTGAGTCTGGCAGCGAGAAAGAGACAGAGAGAGAGAGAGGGAGAGGGAGTGTACAAAAGAGGGAGTGAGATACATATATATAGAGAGATAGATAAAGTCGACCGGTTTGCATTTAATGGAGCTGATGTCATGGGCTTGAAAAAACACTAGAAGCCACAATGAACTTGCCCAAAAAAAGATTTCCTCGTTTGCCACTTGTGGCACAACATGTCTGTGTGTGTGTGTGTGTGTGTGTGTGTGTGTGTGTGTGGACATCAATACAACATTGACAAAACAATGAAACGGAGCAAGTTGCAAGCATAAACAGATGTTGTTGTTGCTGCCACTAAATGCCAATACAGACAGACAGTCAGACAGGAAGACAGACAGACTGACTGAGAATCGACCCAATCGACTCCTGCCCCAACTCTGCGTTCAGTCAATGAACTTTTAGGTCAGGATAAGCAGCAAGCACGCAATGTTAAGTAGCAGTCACAGTGGCTATCACAGGCACCGGCACAGGCACAGTCACAGTCACAGTTCCTGTTTGCAGTGACATTCACCAGTCACAGGAATAGTCAGTCGGGTCAACGCCTACTTACTTAGCTAGATTGTTTGCTGTTCCTTGATTACCAATCGCTGCACAGCGCCAAAAAAAGAAGCTAATTCGTTTTTTAAGTAATCTACTTGCTAGCTTGTTCTTTAATCAGGTAATAATTTTCAAGAGATAAATATTTCGTGTTTAAAGTTTTAAAAAATAAAGACGAAAAAACATGTACACAAATCTTTAGATCTGTAATTAATACTTGACTTCGTGACAGATTTTAAGCAGATACTTCTGGAATCAGTTGAAAATGTCGCTGTACGCTTGGGATAAAGTTGCTTTTACACTTTTGCCTCAATCAAGCCAATTTATTGTTATCTAAAAATCTGACATTGAAAAAGAAATTCCCTTGAACTTAATTTATTTTTTTTTATAAAATTGATGGGTAACAATTGAAGTTGAAAGTTGATGATTTTTGTGCAGTGTACTTACCACAGCTGTGTGTCTAGGCCTGCTGTCTGTTGTCGCCCTTTATTGTTTGTATTAATTTTGTTGTTGTTGCTGTTGCTGTTGTTGCTGTTGCTGTTTACAACTTTGGTTTGCACAATAATAAACTTTGAGTTAGCACACGGCTAGCCGTTATAATGGCAAACAGTCCTTGTTGCTCTTGCAGCCCGAACTGGAGGACTTTCAAAACATCTGCGTACACGTTTCCACACACGAGACAACACGACGCGAGCGAGAGAGATGATAGAGATAGAGAGAGAGGGAGAGAGAGACAGGGATGGGGTGGAGGTGGAAGATTTGTTTTCGTTGTTCGCTGATCGTTAATTGAGTTAAAGTGACAGCTGTTGGCGAGCTGAGTTACGGTTTGTTAAATTGAAAAAATAAATTGCCAAATAATATACTGTTCAACTATTTGTTGCTACTGTTTTCCCATTTGCTGATTGCTGATTTCGGATTTAACTGGCTTTTTTCGTATCGCACTCGAGCGCTGCTGAACCCAAACTAAGCGCCAATGTTGTCGTCTGTCGCCTTTTCGTTTCAGCTTCGCTAACAGAGCAGAACATTAACAGCAGCAGCAAAGGCAAAAGCAAAAGCAAAAGCAGCAGCAGCGCCAATTTTGTTTTCTGTCGCGTTTTGCGTTTCAGCTTTGCTAACAGAGAAAAGCATTAACAGCAGCAGCAAAAGCAGCAACAGCGCCAAATGTGTCTTCTGTCGCGTTTACGATTCAGCTTCGCTAACAGAGCAGAACTTTAACAGCAACAGCAACAGCTGCAGCACACTTAACAGTCGCAAGCAGTTGACAGTCGACTTGTAAGCTTTTGCGTAGGCATTAACAGCAACGCCCACTGTTAATAAATTGTATTTTTGGCAATATTATTATTAACGGTTTTTCAATTGTTTTGACCTTGCTGCTGCTCTAGGAATACAACATTTTGATCTGGAACATACGCAAGACTGTTTCGCCCACAACACAAAATTGCAATTGTCGTTTACTTAATGGCTCATTGAATAGCCATAATTCGTTTGAGGTTTACTCATCGATCTTGTCGTTTATGGCGCTTTAACAATGCCGCCTCTTGTTTAATTTTTTTTTTCTCAATTTTTTATATAATCATATTTATTCTCGGTTGGAGCTGCGGTCGCACACAGACAACCTTCACCCACACATGTGCCAAATGGTGCGTGAAAAGCTTTTTGCTTGCCCACCCCCACAACCATATAAGATCATTTTTCGCAGTATTTTTCATAGTGAACATGTCACTGCAATTAGCCCATGTCAATTTATATATAAAATTGATTAAACTATTTGCAGTTGAAAAGTTCGCCAACAAATTTTTCATTTCCTTGCTGTGCATTTCCCGTAACTTTTTATGGATGGGCGCACAAAAGTTCCGCTAGATATGCTAAGGAAATGATCACCATTCGCACTTATAATGAGTATGCATACTTTTCGGGAGAAATTATTAGCCAAATCAATCTTGTTTTAAAAATAAAGTTGTCTTCTAATACTAATTTTGAATGCAAATAGTGAGAGATCTAGAGATAAAGATATATAGGTTTATATAACATTTTCCCGATAAACAAAAGAAAACCAAGAATTTCCTTGCTATTGAAAATTTCAACATATTTAGGACCATTTATTTATATCATTTATTAAGTAGCAATATCACGTTGAAGATTTTTGGTGTATTGTTTGTTTTGTTGTTGTTGTTGTTTTTATAGCGTTAATGTGGATCTATATAAAATGGTATATAATATATATATATATATATAGTATATATATATATATATATAGTTCTATATGCATAGGCGCAATAAATCAACTAAGCGGCTTATTTTGATTAAATAGTATTTTGTATGGATTGCATATGTTCTTCTAGAGGGATTATTGTATTTCATAGCATGTGATGAGTGTGTGTGTGTGTGTGTGTTTGAGTGTTTGTGTGAGTGTGTAGATAGACCGCAGGACATAGGACGCTCTACCGATTCTAGTTAGGATCAGCTCCAAGATTCTTCTTATCAAAAATGCAGTTTTGTAATCAGAGTTGAGGGTTCGTTTTGGCTTATGGACGTATAACATAGATGTGTGTTGCAAAAGGATTGTATTTCTATATGCTATATATGTATGTAGATTGTTAGTTATGCTAGGGATTGTTCTTACAAGCTAGACATATAAACGCATGTCTTAGACTTAGACTGGCTCAAGCAGCGCTTCTGTATCAAAACTGTATCAAAATGTCGTATAAAATGTTGTTGTCATGTTTGTTAGCTGATTTGATTACTGGTGTTGTTGCATTTGATTTCATTCTTTGGTGTTACATTGGTGTATATATACTTTATAAGTCTTCAGTTTCAGTTGCATTCGGTTTGGTTCTGTTAACGGGTTCGGTTTTGTTTGGTTTTGGCTCTGTGAAACCGAATTCTTGTGCGTTCAGTCTGGCCCATAGTATCTTGATGGTTTCTCTTCTTTTTTATTTGTTTTGTTTTTTTGTTATAGCTAAAGAAAAAGCAAAATTAAACAAAACGCAAATCATAAAAAAAGTAGAAAAAATAAAAAAATGAATTAATTTTCATTATACATTTTATTTGTATATAGTATTTCTTTTCGTTTCTTATGTTGCGAATTTTGTGGCTTATGCGAACGATAAAATTAATTAAGTAAAACTTTTCTCATAAAATTAGGTAAAATATATATATATCAATATAAATATATATGTTTATGTATTCGTATGCATATTGCTGATGATGAATTTAAAAAAATAAAGAACTGAAGAATCCATTTTAAAATTGAATGCATATAAAGATAATATATATATATATAGATATAGATATATATATATATAAAAAGAGAAACTGAGACGCATACGAAAATTGTTTGCGCAACGCAAATGAGAAATGATTAAACAATAAATCACAAAACTTAAGCTAAGCACGTAAAATTCTAATCTAAATAAAAAAGTGTTTCCTTTTTTTTGTTTCTCGTTTGTTTGTTTGTTTCGCGTTCGACTTGGAGGAGAGCTTAAACATTTAATTTACGCTTAATCAGTTTTCTTAGATTCATGTTTCTTTCTTGTTTGTATTAATTGTATGTGTGTGTGTGTGTGTTTTGAGTTTGCTTTAACTATATAAACTTACTTAAGAAAGCACAATCATTTTATATATTTATATATATATATTTTTTTTATATATTTGCGTAGTATATCGTATCGTCTGCATACTTATCAATATATATAAATTTATCATTTTGTAATTATCATTTTCATCATTAAACGCAATCGTTATGAAATGTATCAAAAATTTGACTATTAACTACAGTTATCTATACTCCATATATGTATATATGTATTTGTTGTTGTTGTTTTTTGTTTATTGTTATATGCTCACTACAACCATATGCATATAATAAATACGTACACACACACACATCTATATTCCGGTTTATATAAACATAATGATATCATTTGCTCAGCTTTAGCTCTGTATATATATATATATATTTATTTATATATGTATGTGTGTATTATAAATAAAATTATAATTCAAAAGTGAATAATCGTTTGGCTGTACGACAATTTCCGTTGAAATACGTGCACATACATACTATATATTATGTACGATCCGATTCGATCCGTGAATAACTTTTTTTAACTCTCCACTTAAACTTAAATGTTAATGCATATATCATATATCATTATACTGTCTGTCTATCGTTAACTTTAGCTCATTATAGGTAAATATTTAGGTTTATGTGTTTATTTTTATGATGTTGATGTTGATGTGGATGTTGTTGTTGATGTTGGATGTTTGATGTTGATCAGTGCTAATCAGTGCGTGATCCCAGACATGATCTCCATTCACCTCCATTGTTGACCTCTCCACGTCTCTAGTCGGTTAGCGTTTGGGCAACAAGTGCCAGCTGCTCTTTGAGCACACGGAACGAAGGACGCTCCTCGGGCCCATGCGACCAGCACTTTTTCATGACCTGCAATATAATTACAGGCAATTATATATTAGATACATTCATATATATATATATATATATATATATTTGTATAGTAAATATAGCATTAACTGCTTTTAAGTGGGTCAGTTGTGTGTGCTTTTTCTCTTTGCTGTATGCTTTGAGTTAGTGTTGGGTTTTCTTACACATTTCTTGCTTAATTGCTTGCGTTGAGTTTTGGTTGAGTTTAAAGTAGTTTTCATAGAATATTATAGACTAAAAAGTCAGTTGGCTAAATTTGATATAGTTAGTAGCGAACCTCAAAGCGCAGCAGATTGTAAAGACTTAACCAGGAATGTAAGTAGCATCTCAGAGAAACTTGTTTTAAATAGAAATATGCTCAAATTTGTGTAGGTTGATGGAATCAGAGTGTCAGAGAATCAGAGTTAGAGATATATCTAACAGGTCTCAACGCATGAAGCGCCTTCCAATATTTATAATATTTATTATTATTATTATTAAATACAGTAAAATTGCAGTTATGAACTGAACCATCTCGCTTAAGGGGCTTTATATCTAATGGATATAAGCTTAGCTATATTATAAATAATATTAAAGTAGTTTTGCTGAACTTTTGAACTAGCTTTGCATCATTTTTACAATAGTCCCATAGCATTTTGAAACCCACTTTGCTGCTTTTTCACACAGTCTTAAGTTATGCATCACTTTTAATAATAATTATAAAAGTCGTCTACAATTTGCCGACTACTTTTATTGAATATCTCAGCAGTTGTTTAACGTCTATTTGCACAAGCTCTACTCTGAAAGCAGTTGCCAGCTATATATATTTAGTTGTTGTACTCACATCGTATATTTCCTTGGCACACGACTTTGGTTTCTCTAGTATAATGCCGCGCTGCACACGCTCCACGACTTCGGTGTTCTTTAGACGGCCATAGGGCATTTTGCCACAGGTGAAGATCTCCCACATGAGCACGCCTAGAAATGCAGAGAGATTTAGTTTGGGCCTATAGCTTATAGATATTTTGATCTGGCACTCACCATAGGCCCACACATCGCTCTTGGATGAGAAGCGTGTGTAGTTGAGCACCTCGGGCGGTGCCCATTTGATGGGGAACTTGGTGCCGCCCGAGCTGGTGTACTGATCATCGAGCACATAGCGGGCTAGACCAAAATCGGCGACTTTAACCACATTCTCGGAGCCGACGAGGCAGTTGCGTGCCGCCAGATCGCGATGAATGTAATTGTGACGCTCCAGATAGGCCATGCCCTTGCTAACCTGTATGCACATGTCCAGGAGCAGGCCCATATTGCCAATTAGAGTGTTTTCGTGCCGGCGCAAATAGTTGAGCAGCGAGCCGTGCTTCATGTATTCGGTGACAATGTAGATGGGTCGATGCTTCGAGCAGACGCCATACAGCTGCACCAGATTCGGATGCTGTAGCTTTGTCATCACCTTGGCCTCCTCAATGAAATCATCCTCGGACATGGTGCCCTCTTTCATCATCTTAACGGCCGTGTCAATGGAGCCACGCCATTTGCCGCGACGCACCACTCCAAACTGGCCGGAGCCGAGCTCCTCCATCAGCATCAGCTCCATGGGATGGATTTCCCATTTGTCGTGTGAGAGGCCCGCCGTTGGTGGTACTGGCCGATCGCAGGGCGAGGACTTTAGTCGGCAGGCTAGTCCGCCCGAGTTATGGCGATGATAGTTAATTAGATCCGGTATAGTCTCGCAGCAGTGCTTCTCACTTAGATAATACTCGCCGCGCGCATTCTGCTTGATGTGGTAGTGCTTCACATGCGATTGCGGACTGTTGCAAGTTGACAAAGCAGCAAAGATTAGTATTGTGAAGTAAATAGATTTAATAATATATTATGTAATATATAAAATTGTATAAAGTTAATATAGCTATCCCGTAATTGTGAAATGAATAATAGTTAATACAATAGTATATAATATTAACAAAGTTATACTTAATCATCTACACTAAACCAATTTACAAAAGGAGCACATTTGTTACCATTGTTTAACCCCTGCATTGAAATTTGAAAATACGATTTTGTTTCGAAATTTAAACTGTTCCAAAAAGTCGCATTTTCATCAACGATTGGAAATGCTACATTTTTAGCTCTTGCTACTGCTAAAACAGTTTCATTTCAGTTTTTTACTATTACCTCTGCAAATGCTCTGTTAAACTTGGTAGTGGCTATTTTGTAGCAAATTCAAACACTGATTTTTACATGAATCTCGACATAAAAACGTGATTCCCAATTTAAATGAGTATGAGTCTTAAGACGAAGCCGTGCTCAAAAACTCTGCCACTTACCCAAATGTTAACCACTTAAAGAAACCCATTTTTAGTTATAAAATCTACTCCGTCGAGATAAAGTTATGCAAATTTCCATAAAAATATGTATTCAATACCGGGTGTACTTTAAGCCCGGGCCTGACCAGATCACTTTGTTAATGGAACATATCGAAATTAGTCTTTCTACTCTTAGGGATACTTAAAAGATGCTTATGAATTTCTAATATTTTAGATGAATTACTTACACTTTGGTATGCAGCGATAGTGTGTAGAGACCCTTGGTCGATGACTTGCGCACCACAAAGCAACCCTCCTTGTCGCCCTGCTTTAACAGCGACTCGGCGCGTTGTCTGGACATGTCGCCCACATACCATCTATGCATAGAGAGAAAAATATGTTAAGTATACCTGTGCAACAGTTTTTTTTCTATGCATTGGCTTACTCGTAACGCTCGAGACCCAAGAGGGCTTTGGGTTTAACATAATTGCTGGGTATGTAGCCGACGTTGCCAACTGTGTCCTTGACCTTCCACCAATGCTCCTGTGAGTCATCAATGACCTCATATTCAGCATTCTAATTCAAAACAGAGATTAGCAAATATACATTTATTGTTAGTTAAAGTTAACTGCTTACCTTCTCTAGGGATAAATCGCCGCCTTCGATGGCTTTGAATGGATAGAGCGCCACCACCAACTTGACAAAGTGTGAATTGTCCTGGAATTCAGAGAGAACGTTCAGATTAAACAAGTCAAATTGAGCTAGACGGGTGTAATCGACTAGCAAATACCCTGTATTCTATTAAGAATGGTCGTTTTACGTCTTATAATATCTGTGAATGCAAGTAACAAGTGAATAAACCAAAAGCTAAAACAAAACCTCTCAAAAATATCTTTGAACATTTTGGGAGAAGTTATTTTATAAGTGTATTACATAATCTTTGAAATTTGTGTAATAAACTCAAGTTGCATAACGATCTTTATATAGTTTGAACAAATACGAGAAGTCTGTTCAGCTCCTTTGCTCTTTTAGACTTATACGAGACAGACAGTCAGACAGATCAACTCAAGATGTTATACTAATCAATTTAAATAACAACTTTATGAAATCCTTTTACTCTACTCTATCACAATAATTTACAGTATTTTGATGTTTACAACCTATAACCAATTGTGCAGCTTGAGGCCAGTAGCTTACCTTGGCTTTGGAGTTGGGCGTGCCGGGCGTTGGTATTCCGCCGGGCATGTTGGCATCCAATAAAACGCCGTTGCCGTTAAGTAATGTGGGTGACTGCTTGAACGTTGTCAGCGAGGACTAAATGGTACAGAAAGGAAAAAATCGAAGATGTGGTTAGCAAAATCATGCCACATTTTGTGGTCGTGCCAATAATTTACCTGTGGCTGCAGCGATGTGGGTGTGCAACTACCGCCGCTGCCGCCGCCGCCTCCTCCTGCTACACCGTTGGGGCTGCCTAAACCTGCAACACCAGCGATACCACCACCAACGCCACCACCACCTCCAATCCCACCGCCAACGCCGACAACTCCGCTGACGCCGCCGCCTAGGCTGCCGGAGCTGTTGTGCTGCAAACTGAATTGACTGTTTGTCGTCGAATTGTTTGGACTGATGCTGCGCGTCGAATTCTGGGCTGGAGAACTGCCGTTGCCTGTAAATACAAAAAACAGCAACAAGAAATTAGAAACGGAAACGGATATGGATAAGATTATAGAAACAAGCAGGTTTACATTTTACTTTTTTACTTAAGTCACAAAACATTATAAATTCAATTAAATATATACCCCGCTTGTCAAGTTTGTTGCCTAAGTCTTTCGTTGTTTTTTTTTATTCGCCGCAGGAAACAAACATTATTTCCTATAAAAACTTGATGTAAGCTAATTCGTTAAATTGCTTGTTTTTTTTAGCGTAGTTAATCTCATCTAATGTGAATAAATAAAAAAAAGCTTTTGTGTTTTTTAGGCAAGTAGTGATCAATTTTGGGGTCGTCTCCTTTAATGAGGGACACACATCATTTGCAACATTCGAATTATTTTGATTTTAATTTGCTTGTACAACAAGCACAAAATTTGGTTTGGCTTGCTGAGTTCAAGTTCGTTGCCTAAGTCTTTCGTTTTCAAGGCACACACAATTTGCCGGCTATTTGGCAACAACATATTATAAATGACACAAGCATACAACAAAATGCTGGTTCAACACTCGTTGGCGATAATTAGCCGAGCCAAAGTATCGAATCGAAAATCGCCTTACGCGAGACACGAGACTCGATTCTTGCCAAGGTTAATTACCGCAATGCGACACTGAATGCCAAGATTCCAAGGCGGCCAAAACGCCCACAATTGGTTGCTTGGCATTTGAAGTGGACAAGGGGAAAGGCGGCCAGCACTGATGGCTTTATCTATTTGATCGGCTCAGTCAAGCCTGTCAATATATTTCTCACTCACTATGCAAATTCAAACGAACCAAAAAAAAAAGCCAAGCAACCACAAAACTGAACTCCAAAGCTAACCCCAATTAAGAGTAAAAAAAATTTAGAGATTTATTTGGGGTATTTTTTTGTGGGCGCAAGTTATGCAACAATTGCACACATATTTTATACAGCTATATATACTATAATATATATATATACGTATATGTATATGTATATGATGAGTAAGCAGCATTAATATTTTGTGTAAGCACTCGAATCGAGTGCTCGAGTAGGCGCCTCTTCAAGTACGCTGTGCGCAGGCGAGAATCGAACAGAAACACACAACAAAATATTACAAATAATAATAATAATAATTGAAATCACAAAAAAGTGAAGGTTAATCGAAGCGAAAGTGTTGTGCCGAGCCAAGCGCATTTAATCATATATATTTGAGATTTTTAAATGCCCTGCGGACGCAGACAGACAATGGGGCAGAGAGGAGAAACCCATTTTTCTCAATTGATCCAACCAATTTTTTCAATATCACAAAACAAAATGCAGGCCACATTTTTCATGTGAAAACTCACGATTTTAGTTGACTCCCCCGAAAAAGAGACAGGCTCAACATCTCTCCATCTCTCTCTCTCTCTCTCTCTCGGTATCTCTCTCTCTCTCTCTTTCTCTCATATCCCTCTCTTTCCCACTCTCTCTGTATAAACAACAAGCAAAACGTGCCAACGATAGGCGACACTGAAGCCTGCAGGCAGCTTCAAATTCAACTTTAGTTGCAACAACAAAGGTGCAGACTCAATAGAAAGAAGAAAAATAGAAAGTTTTTCTTTTCCCAGCGCACTTGCCGGCAGCAGAGTCGTGCGGCTTTTGTTATGCCATTTTCCATGCAAATGAAAAGTGCCCACAGTCATTTTCATTGTCTGGCAAAAGCAGCGAGGCGACATTCGCCCGGCACACATGTATGTATATGTATGTATAATACAATGTCATTTGCATTACAAGTTGCAGATATAACTCAAAGTTGGTCGCGATAAATTAAGGATAAGTCAGCGATAGGATAGATATATAGAGAAAATATTTTCAAAAGTTAAGTTAAGCCAGTAAGGAAAGCAAATATAATAAATAAAAATATAATATATAAACCTCATGTTCATGAAAATAAAGATAGTTTTCATTTAAAACCAATTCCGCAATTTATTCCAATAGTATAAATAAAATAAATATTGAAAGAGAGAATTTGAATTTTAAAGCTATTCCGTAGTGTACAATTATTTCTTAAAACGGAAAAAAATTGTTGGGAATCTCTCTGAAAATAGCCAACAATTTTTAATTTGCACATATTACAATTTTATGCCTTTATTGTATAAGAAATGCCTCAAACTCTAATCAACTCCTATTTTAGACACATTTCCTTCTTTTCTTTACATTTCTCTAAAATACATTTTTCCCATGCACACTATAATTTTCCGAGCCTGGACTGCAGCGTATTCAAGCATCGTTGTTGCTTCCAAAAAGCTTTTACTCAATTAATGCAGGCTTTCTAATCATAATTTTCCTCGCACACACATAGCCGTACATAAATTGGCCTGCTCCTGAGCAACCAACGGAAGCAAAACTATTTTATATGCATATTAAAATGTCTTATGATTGGGGCGCGTTACAAGCCACATTCAAAAACAGCCCCAACGGCAAATTTGTCATTAACTGTCTGCATACATAAACACAAACGAAGCAGGCCGCAATCGTGTTTATGGCCAATTGTGTAATTTTCTTTGCATTTTCTTGCACATTTTTTGTTGTTGTTTTTTTTGTTTGGTTTATTTGCTTGGCAAATTGTTATGCAAATTTTATGTGCAGCTGCCAGACCTTGCAAAAAAAATGACTACTTGTCAGACTTTCAAACACGTGTTCTATTGTTGTGCTTATTGTTGTATTTGCTGTTGACTGACGGGTCAGGTGAAACTGCGCTATATTTAAATCAAGCGTGACTCAATCGTAGAACGCCCACGAAAAGAGCATTAATGCTAACTATTATTGAAACAAGTTGAGCGGCATTTTTTTGATAAATCAATAAGGGCATGCCGAGAATACAAGAAATACTGGACCTACTACACTGAGATCAATTTGAATACCATTCGCAATATTTAGGGAAGAAGAAATGTTGGTGCGGAGCGGGGAAAAGATGGTTTATTTATCTATTTATAATTTATATAAAACAATAAAATAGTTTGGTATCTTTAAAAATCGCTAAAAACAACTTTCAGTTAGCATGTTTAATAATTTTGAGTAATTATTTTAGGCAAAACTTTTTATGTACAACTTTTTCGCATTTCTTATCATTAATTAATAGATTATTCATTTAAATAGATAATTTGATCCTCAAACTGACTAGTCGAATCTTTTAGAAACAAATTTTGAAGCAGCCGCATTTTCCATACAAAAAAATAAAGCGAAACCTTTTCAGAAACATTTTAGTTAATCTCAAAACCATCTACAAATAGTAAAAGCAGCAATTCAGCAATACTAAACATTTTGTGTGTGTGTGTGATTGTTTCTTCCAGTGTATTCGTCATTTTTTTGGCTGTGGTCTTAAGTCATCTTGTGATTGTCTTACCCAGCTTGAGAGCCGATAATAGCATCATCTCTAATGCGGCTGCAGCTTCAAAAATTTCAAATCGTGCGACGCGCTCAAAATCTTTGTTTGTTTTTATTTTTTTTTCGTTAGGATTTCGAGTGGAAATAGAAAAAAATGGATTAACGCCAATTTAGCCGTATTTGTGTCAATTCACTTTCACGTAAATCACTTGTTCAATTTTTCAGTTATTTGTTGCTATTGCTGCTGCTTCTTGTTGCTGTCGTTGTTGTTGTTGCATTCGCTTTGGGGCTGTTGTTAAAACTGGTTTCATGGCTGCTTCCTTTTAGCAAAATTTGTTGTCGTAGTCGTTGCTGCTGTTATTATTGTTGCTGTTGTTGTTGCTGGCATTTTCATGCTACTTGGCCTGACCTTTAGGCGTTCGACGATCTGCTGCGACTGGCTTTTACCGTTATTTGTTATGACGTTCACAGCCTGGCCCCCAAGTGCTTCCTGTCAGCATACGAAATACAATGCACAATGCATATATGTATATATATTCTAAATATATTTATAATTATTTGTTGCATTAAATTTGTTTATTATGCAATTTGTGTTTTGTTACATCTTCATCGTCTTCTTCTTATTCGTCTTTTGCATTTTCTTCTTCTTCTTCTTGATAATGATGATGGCTTTCACGCAATGGCAGCGGCAGCCATTTTGTAAAAAATTTCCATGACAAGACGAAAGTTGTTTTTTTTTTGTGTTTGTATTGTTTTTTTTTTTTTGCACTATACGAATTTTACACAACAGCAATAAAATGAACAAGCTAGTCGCTCATTAATACTAAAATAATAATTGAATTATGCATTTAATTGGCACTTTTATATATATATATATCTTTTTATTTGGGTATATTTGAAGTTTTGGATTTAGCGCCGTCGCGAACTGTTTCAGTAAATGTTTAAAAGCCAACTGACAAAACGGCAAATGAAATTTTTGCTAGCCACCGCAAGGCAGCAGCAACAACAACAAGAAGAGTAACAGCAGCAGCCGCCGAAGGTGAGCGACGACGTTGGCAAGTGTAGAGCAGAGTAGAGCAGAGCAAAGCGAACGGCGAACGCATGAATGGGAAAATAAAAAATAAAAAACTTCAACGCCAGCAGAGGCAATAAACATAAAGTAAAACTTAATTGTAGCAGCAGCAGCAGCAGCAACAACAACAATCAGTGCAGGTGGCGGTGAGTGAAAAGCAAAAGAGCAAAGCTTTTGAGCGAAGAGAGCGCGGAGAGTGGAGTGCGGAGCATCAAAGTTAGTAACAAGCAGCAACAACAACAACAGCAAAAAGCAGCAGCAGCAGAAGCCGCCAAGCGCAACGAAGAAGAAGGCAACGTCGAAGACAACGACGACGATGGCTGCTTGGGCAACAGCAGAGCTACAGCAGATCAAGACTTCTGCCCACTGGGCATGTGTATGTATGTGTTTGTGTGTGTGCATGATTATGTGTGTGTGTAGCTGTATTTTCTTAAATGTTACAGTGCAAAAAGGCAGCGTTAAGGTTCCAAGTTCCAAGCCAGGCCAACAACAATGCTTATTTAAACTCTGCTCAAAGAAAACAAAACAGAAAGAAAAAAGAAACAAATCAAGTAACAAGTTG